GAGGCGGGTGGATCTCTGTGAGTTTGAGGCCAGCCTGGTCTACAGTGTGAGTTCCAGGACAGCCAGGGAAACTGTCTGAAAACAACAACAAAACAAACAAACAAAGAGGAAAAGAAAAGAAAGAAAGAATACTTGTGTGAGGTAGAATCATGGCTGCCTAATATCCACATGCCATTGGGACCTGGGGATTCTGTTTACCTGGCAAGAAGGACATTGCAGATTCAGTGAAGTCAGGATCTTGGGATGCAGATCACTCTGAGTGTTGTATTTAAAAAACAGTTGAGAGACCTTGGTGGGTTGGAGTCAAATTGCCCCGTGGAGGGTAAGAGACAGAGACATGCCATGCCATGCAGACAGCATGCTCACGTGGAGAGTTTTATTAGTGGCGAAGGGGGAAGGGAGGGGAGAGGGAGAGGGAGCACAGAGCTGCCTCATGGGGGGGGGGGGCTGGAAGGGGAGGTCTCGGGGACACTGTGGAGAGAAGGCTCCCGGTACATGGCCACGGGGGGGGGGGGGGGAGAGAGAGAGAGGAGCAAGCAGGCAAGGGACTGAAGAAGAGAGGAGAGACCCGCCCCACCTTTTATGAGGGGACTTTGCGCATGCACAGAGAGACCATTGCAATGAGCGCATGGCGTTGTCAGGAGCCTGAGCCGGCCAAGGCATTGCCTACATATTGGCCAGTCCCCAGGGGGCAGGTTTGAATGCTAACACTGGGTGTCTGTGGAAAGAGGTTCTCTGTAAGTCAAGAACAGATGATTAAGCATAAGGAAGAGTCTGCTGTCACTCACTGTTACGGGCCAACTGATTGCATTTTTTTCTTCTTTTTCCTAGTTAGTCTCTAATCATGTCCCAAGCCGAAGGCCAACTTGTTCTTCCTCCATCACCTTGTGAGCTACATGTCACAAATTATTTCCATTGTTTCATGATATGTTTTGAGAACTGACTGACTATAAGATGTTTCACAGTATGTTCCAATAACTAACTGACCATCAACCCATACCACGTAACTTTCCTACGATCATAACAATAACTGCGAAATTCTGCTTCTGTAATCACTCGCTCTGCCGGTATAAAGAGTACTGCCTTTGGTCTCGGCCGCCACTTTGTTCTCCTACCAAAGGAGACTGTGAGTTTGACTCAGCTGTAAATAAAATTTTTACTTTGCAACATCACAGTGTTGGCTCCTGGTTTTCAACACCCTAACACTCACTGGCTTTGAAGATGAAGATGAAGAGTCAAGGGATGTAGAAGCCTCCAGAAGCTCTACCAGGCAGAAATGGGTTCAGCATTCAACCTTTAAAAGGTTTCCTTTTTTTATCCTGTACATGCCTTGATTTTGGCTTAGAGACCCATTTTGGATTTTTGCCTCAAGAAGTGTAAGCATGTCCACGGGCTTTAATCTGTTGGCTGTAAAGTGAGAAATTTAAACAAGTTAAAGAAACTTCAGGAATGGAGAGAGAGAGAGAGAGGGGTGGGGTGGGGGGGGGGGTGGCCGGGAAGGGACCAGTAGGGAGACTTCCGGCAGAGCTGGTTTGATTCTGGAGAGTTAGCACGCAGCTTTGATCATCTGCCTTTAGTGATTGCTACCTTCTGTCTTTGAAGTCTTATCTGAGAGCTTTCCTAGGGGTTCAAAGCCTACAAACTTGGTTGAGGGGCAACCCAGAAAACTGTGGTATTCCTTAACTGAGAATTTGCATTTGGCGTTGTCCCTCTGGGGGGCTTAGATAAGAGGTTTTGGTATAGGATTGACTTGCTAAAGGTGTGAAATGTATAACAATAAAAGGGCCCTTTGCTATAAGCTACAGCGAGTCAGTCCATGAGAAGTTGATCCCCATGCATCTGGAAAAGGCTAAAATCATCCTTAGAGTCTTCTGTGCCTTCTTTCCACAGACCCGCATGAGCCCACGTCCAACACGACCGGGACCTGTAGCAGCGGTAGACTGGGATGAGACACAGCATGACCCGCAGCCTTGTGACTCTGGGAGGGGCTCCCATGGGGCTCGGGTGTGGAGGAATACGAAGAGCACAGGTGTGAGGCAAGCAGGCGCGGAGACCATGGCGCCCCTTGCCACTTTTCTGCAAAGGGCTCCTGCTCACAGGTGAGATGGGTCCTGAGAGTGGCTGGGAGGAGGGGAAGAGACGCCAAGAGGAGATGGACACCCTGCTCGAATCCCAAGGGGAAAGGACACAGGAAGGGACAGGAAGGGTGTGCTGAAGGACGCCCTGGGAGCTGGAATTGCTGTGGGGAGTGGGGAGTGATGCCAGATTCAACTTTCTTCAATGTGAATCACCATTGCCTGCTGTATTTTCCCTGGATACTGGCTGCTGGGGTCCAGACAGGTGTGCCACAGCACTTGGGAGTGGAAGCAGGTGGATGTCTGTGTGTTTGAGGCCAGCCTGGTCTATATAGTGGGTTCCAGGACCCCCAGAGCTGCATAGTGAGACCCTATCTTGACCCTCCCCACAAAAGAAAGGTGGAGTCGGGGTATGCTTCCAACCAGAGACTGGGGGGTGCAGGAGGGTACTGCAATGATATGGGGTGTGGGAGGCTCTGGCTGGCTGGGTCAAGGTGTCCTGCAGGTGACAGAAACATGCCGGACAGATGTGGCGGCAGGCTGCAGCACGTGAACAGTCACTCACACCCCAGGCGCTACATCCTCGTGGAAATGAGTTTATTATCATAGAAAGATGGAGAGAAAGATAAGGAAAGAAGGAGAGAGAAGAAAAGAGAGGAGGGGAGAGGGGGCCATGGTACACACCTCATGGCGGGGGGAAGGAAGGAAGGGCAGAAGAGAGCAAAAGGGGGAGGAGTTTTCTTCTTAAAGGGAATGTGGGATGGCGTCTGGAGGACATCGGGCGGGTGCCCAAGGGGTGGGTCAGAATGCTAACATTCTTCTGTTTTGATTATTATAAAAAGGTGAGTTATTGATAGCAAGTGGGGGGAAGAAAGAGGGCGCTGAATTCGTGAGACTGCTTCACGCTGACAAGGGGCGAAGTGGGGAGGGGGAAGTTGGAAGTCCGGGGTCACACACGGCAGGAGGTATAAGTGAAGAAGCAGAGTTGGCTGTCATGGTGGAGATCTCAGACATGGAGATCTTAGGCGTCTATTCCTTGAGGATGTTTGCAGGAAAAAAAAAAAAAAAAAAAAAAAAAAACTAGATTGTTACCCTTGGTCTTATGAGCTGGGCTAGCCATAGGAAGAGTGATAACTCCCAGAAAGAATGTGTACAGAAGTGACCTGGATGTACAGAAGAGGCAAGGGTGAATGAGTGAGACATGAGAGCAGATGTGCCCTTTATTGGGACATCTTGGAAAACCAGGTTCCAGTTGCTGGGCAGGTGCCCACCTGAGGCTGGAGAGGTGGTACCAGGAGTGAGTTGAGGGATGATGTGTTCTTTAGGAGTACAAGAGCCATCACATCTGCCCCTTCTCTGGAGGTGGGGGTGCATCCATCCCAGTTGGCATCCTTGGAGCTGGAATATCTGGAGAGCACCTTGTCCCAGGCAGGAGGAGCAAAACTGCAAAATATGCTTGAAAATGGGTGAGGTCAGCCGGGCGGTGGTGGCGCACACCTTTAATCCCAGCACTCGGGAGGCAGAGCCAGGCGGATCTCTGTGAGTTCGAGGCCAGCCTGGGCTACCAA